ATTCAGAAAAACTCTCTTGCCTCCCTCCTAAAACTTAAACTACGCCATGGCTTAAGTTTGATGGGATATTTTAAGTCAATTGATTGTCAATGGATATTCCTCTACATTGAACAATATCACTGCAGACTTACAGAGTTATCACACATGCCTGGCTGTTCACGCGTCTAAGGAGGTGTCTTTTAATAAGGTCCACTGGAATCACTTAACCTTTTCTAAGTGCTCAACCAGGACTATGGACTTCATTGGGGGATTGATTCAGTTGCTAGGGGGATTTCTACATTCCCCTGTTGTCCTTATCTCAATCACAGATGGGATGAAAGAAGCACACATTCAGCACGTATATTGGTTAACAGCCAATTAATCATTCGTTAATGGCATTCAACATTTTTGAAAAAAAAAAGGAATACTTCCAGTCTTTATATTTCAAACTCATACTCTTTAAAGCCACTTATGCCCATAACCTTTTCATAAAAAAAATCAACACCTATTTTTAAATTATACTAAAAAACATTTTTGATTGAAACTATGACCAGAAAAAAAAAAAAAAAAAAACAGGATTTTCTAAAATGAGGGATCCATTATTAGAATGAAGTAAAAAAACTTTCACAAAATTTTCTGACTTTCTTAAAACTTGGCATGTTGAGGTTTTAAGGGAAAAATATATTCAGTGTTTACCTTAAAAATATATAATTTGGGTTTATGTTCAAATCAGTATGCACATCTTTATATATGTTTCTGGTATAAATCCAAATTTTTGGAGTAGATTCTTCTTGATGTAAACCTACAAGTAAAACCACATCACCCTCAGAGAACCACGCCAGACTACACAGCTGTGCAACTGGAATTATGCATTACCAAGGCTGGTCAATTTATCATGAAAACTGCGCCAGATTTCCCTGAAGGCTAATGCAGTATGCGTTTGATAACTAAAATATAAGATAAAGCATGTCATTAATCAAGCTGCTATAATCTAGACTTAACCAAACCTCAGGCAGTTTTGGAAGCATTAACTTAACATAATGATCACTAAATCAAAGTTGAGCCCAAGTAATAATTTATTAAAGTTTCACAAAATTTCTGAAACTGTCTTTAACATATACGGGCTAAGTTCTTATTGAAATTCCACCAGCATCAAAAAATAGAATAGGGAAGGAGGGAGCAAGGAGAGTGTTACTTATTCTTCAGGCATTGTGCTCCTTAAACAGCAAGCAGCTAGATCCAGTGTCTTTCAATCACAAAATAATAAATATTCCAGGAATTGGGAGGGAGAAAAGAAAAAGTCTAGTCACACACATAATCAAGAAAAACCATGTAGTATTTTAAAGTTCTTGAGTAAATTGGATGATCACCCACAAGGAGAAGTTCAAATCAAAATGCAAATTTCTAGATGGAATTTTCTCTGTATTTTTAAATGTCCTAGAACAGTATGTACACCTGTAGTGCAAGGCAACTTGGACAAACTATAGTCACAGCACTCCTGCGGTTTCTCTTTCGTCAAACAATAAAATGCTGTGTTTACTTTCCAGGCTCCTGAATTTTACCAAAGTACCCTAAGAACAAATATCTATGAAGACTGCACAAAAGTAATCATGGCTTTTGCCATTAATGGGAGTAGAAAGGCAGGTAAGCTCTGATTAAAAATAAAAATGGATATGGAATCAAATTATCTATAGTTTGAATAAAATAATGAGATGCAGTGATGGTGGCCAGCTCTCGTATTTGTCCAATCCCCGTGTTGAAGTATGTGGAGTAGAATGATTTAAGATTACAAAGCAGCTGAAAGAAATCACTGCTACTTGTTCTAACTGGATTGTATTTTCTAGAATTCTGGAAAGTAACGTGTATTCTTCCAGTATGTTGATGCTAGGTCAGACACTGTTTGACAAAACTGGTAATGGGTGTCCGTACTGAGTCTTCCAAACTCATTTGCCTCCTCTTGTAGCCTAAACATAACTCAGTCACAAGTATTTAACTAAAAAGAATTAAGTATCCAGGTGACTGTGTGTGCTTTCTCCATGGCTTCTTTATCCTGATCCCCTTTCTTTTGTTTATATGCTGTAATATCGTATTACCACGATGAAGTATAAGGCTGCACAACTAAAAGGGCTTCCTCCTTACACGGTCAAAGTACAGTACCCTGACCTTACAATTAGCCCCCTGAATTCACTGAACTTAAAGGACGACCAGGGCCATTTTCCTTTGGTCAAAAGTAGCAGTTATATATATATATAAAATATCTAATAGTGTCCTACAGAATTATAGAAAAGGAGAAAAGGCAAAAGACTGGCCCTTTCCATGAATATGATATGGCAGAAAGAATGTAAGAAATAAGCTTTATTTACTATGACAATTTACACTTTGGAATAAGATTTAGTCTGCCTCTTTTATTACTTTTCATCTTCCCTGTGAAGCATAAATCCTTATTTTGTATAAGCTATGGTCACTTATTACCATCTCACATTTTTTATGGATTCAGGTCTTTTTAAGGAATACTTCATAACAAGGCCATAGCCGGAAAAAAACAGTCATTATTTATTGTACACCAACACTTGCATGTTTAAAAACAGTTATCAAGCAGTGAATTTTAATTCAGATAGAAATTGTCACTGAGAGGTTTCGTTTACAGTTGAAGAGGTATGCTTATTTAAAAGATGAAGACAGTGCAGCAAATTTCTAAGTCTTTAAGTACAGGTTGTTCATACCTTGCTAATCATTCTCAAGCTTCGTTTCTGCACCAGAAAGCCATACTGGGTTACTAACTTTCTGCCAGCATGAAAAAAGTGGCAGGTTAAGGCGACCAATTTTATCACAAGTGCTTTCTCTATCTAGATTCTTCTCTGACTCTTGAGAGAATTCCTTAGATAATTCAAATAGAAATGCTTTTACTGGTTAACTTTTATCATACTTTGTTAGGGAAAAGTTTTATAAAGGTAAAATATGATGGAAGGATGCCAAAATATTAATTATTTAAGCTATTACTATGGCAATCACTAGCTCCAATTTTCAGAAAAATTCTCAATTTTAAACAGACTGTTCTGTGGTTCCCATAAAGACAGTCATAATGTTTTACAACATATATCCCAATTTTGGATTCAGAACAAACAGTTAGACAATCTCCCACTTGCCAATAGTGTTGAAAGCTTCTGTATTACAGTGCCAGAAACAAAGGTAACTTTCTAAATGACTAAGTACTTTATGGACACATGCTCCCATGCCCTTTAAAAAGATATTTTAAGTAACTGTTAAAGTTCATTGTAAGAGGAAAAGATTCCCTATAGTAGTTTTACAATCCATCAACTCTTCAAACTGAACGAGGTTTGTGTTGTCAAATGGTATTTTCATGGAATCCCATCAAAGAAAATTCAGTGGTTGCAGAAGGCAATATGGGTAATTCATTTGGCCACCCTCGACCTTGCAAGGCAATCTGAATCAAAGCTCCCAGCACCAAACCAATAATAGTATTTGAGCACAAGGCTGAAGAAAAGCCTGTGAATGTCTGTGAGGCTTTCTCAGTCATTCCATAGTCATCAAACGGAGACTGAATGGCTGAAGGAGCCACATGCTTCATTTCCCTAGGGGCCTACGGGTGCCCTGCTTCAGAGGAACTCAGTGCGTCACTGAGGTGACCTCTGATTAGGAACAGTCAACCATGCAAACCCTGAGAAATGCAGGGAAAACAAGGACTGTCATCTAAATGCTGATGATGTAAAGATCACCACAAACACCCTCTCAATACCCACTCAGGGACTCCTCCCAGAAACCTCCAGCAGCCCAAAGTGGACCCATGTCAAAAGTCACTGGGTGACTACAACCCTGAACCATAAGTTTAATTTATGCTAGAGTAATAAGGTTTTATCCTTAAAGAAATTACATATATAGGTTTATGTGTGTGTATATCCATATAAGCATGTCTGTCTCACTCAATGTTCCTCAGATTCTATTTCATTATAAAATAATTCGCTCTCAAAGTACTACTTTAAAACCTTTTTCTATTACTAGGTAATCATCATGACTACTCAATAGAATCAGATTCTATGCATATCTGAGACCTGACCCACAGGAAATAACAGAAAATTTTCATATTTGGTTACATACTTCAAATTGCCTTATTTTATTTTCTGTACTTTATTTTTATTTGTGTAGCATAAATCAAAGAATTTTCATTTTCTACTTGTCCACACAAAAGCAGGAAAAGTAAAAGGAGAGTCTCTCTGTTTGCCTTTGCATGGATTCGTACACGAAAACCGGATAGAATAAAACAAGGATATGGTAGTCAGTGAGTTCAGAGGTTCATATCTGATCAAACCTTTCACCTCACTGTTTCCTTTCCTTCTCTGAGTATTTATTTTAACTCAGAGTTTTAGTCTTTGGCCTTCAGTGCCAGAAATATTCTTACATGTTCAGATAAGGCACTTTCATCCAGTTCCAAAAATGTTGAGGGTGGGGGTCAGATTTGAATCCCCACTTACCCTGAAGCAAATATCTCTCATTGGACAAATACTTGGAATGTCTTGACTGACCTCCCTGCAGCTGACAAGAGGCTATTTGTGGTCTTGCTTTTACCTCCACCGTTTCCCTTTTCTGAATTTACATAGCAGCAAAGACAGTACATTGTGTCTAGATTCTTCCCATTCCCTCCAAAGTCAGGCTGAGGACAGCAGGACTTGCCCATGTTTTCAGCTTGACCCTACCTGTGTTAGGCTCTGGCTGCCCGACCGTGTCAGCATTCCAGGACCGTGAGAGAAGGCCGTGTTTGCAACCCAACAGGAAGAGGAGTAAGCCAGGCGTTGACATCACCTGACAGATGCGTTTCTCAAGTCGGAAATGTTATTCAAGGATTTTTCATGGAAATCATTGACACAGAAAAGGAATAAAGAAAAAACGAGAGGGAGAGAGAAAGTCAGTGCCACGATGGGCATGCTTTGCACCCTATAAAAAAGGAATTAAAATGACTCAACTTCACCTCCATTTCTCTACACGCCCCCCCCTCCCCCATTCATCCTTTATATCTGGAAGTAAATGTTTCTGAAACACTATAGCTACCAACAGAGCAGCAACACATAATAACATGGTAGCAACACATAAAACTGTCAGTCTTCAAGGAAAATAGATGGTTAGGTTGAGGGGGTAAATGGACTAAATCAATTTGAATATGCATGTTAAGGACTGTGAAAGGGCAGAGTTTAGAGCTGCTAGGCTGGAAAACATTTGTCTCTGTCTTCTTGTATTTCCACAGCACTGGGCAGAATCCACCCACAGGCTTCTCCCTTGGCTCCAGTCTGACTCTGTGGCTGATTAACGGCAGCTGGAGGTGTCCAGTAATTTCCTCACCTAATAATAAACTACAACCCAAAATGGAGGTTTCCCTCAGGCCCACATTTAACATACCTATACTTACAACCAGGAGGTAGCCAATTACACTGTCTCTGTGCCCACTACTTAGAAAGTACATGCTTCAGCACGGCTGAGGCAATTTTGTTTACCATGGGGATCCAATTCCTGTCTATACCAGACAGATTGCTTCTTTTACACAATGAACACACATTAAGTAAGCTCATTTCAGAGACCAAAAAAACGTAGAAAAATTTCCTAGCAGTTCCACAAGATCCATTTCTAAGTAATTCATTCTTTTCTCAAAAATGTGGAGGGAAAAAAGTGTCAAATGACAGACTTGGTCTTAAGCCTTTTTGGAACTTAAATTTTAAATTGCTGTTACCAAAATGTCAGGTTGTAATTGCAAAGCCTGAAGCCTAAGCAATCACTCTAATTCCCTGCTTCCTGAGGCATCCAATAAAGCTGTTTGTATTTGGGCAGTTCTTCCTCACAGATTCGTTTGGCAATGAGAATTGGTACATGCCACATACTATAAGGCGATTATGTGGATTAACTTTGCGATATTAATGAAGTGGTTAGCCTCAACATTTGTATTTATAGTAACTAACAAAATTAATTGTAAACTAGGGAATAAAACATAGAGACAAAAATACAGAGACGTATGTGCATGCCTGCACACATATGTGAGTTCCCCGTGAGCAGTAGCAGAGCAGAGATGTGGATAATGGAGAGAGTACACAGACCTGGATTCAGATCACATTTCTGCTGCCTGAATTGCTTAACTTCATCAAAGCATCTTAGCCTCTATTTACTTCTTTTTTTTTTTTTTTTTTTTTTGAGATGGGGTCTTGCTCTGTCACCCAGGCTGGAGCGCATTGGCATGATCTCGGTTTACTGCAACCTCCACCTCCCAGGTTCAAGTGATTCTCCTATCTCAGCCTCCCAAGTAGCTAGGATTACAGGTGCGCGGCACCACATACAGCTAATTTTTGTATTTTTAGTAGAGATGGGGTTTCATCATGTTGGCCAGGCTGGTGTCAAGCTCCTAACCTCATGTGATTCACCCGCCTTGGCCTCCCAAAGTGCTGGGATTAGACATGAGCCACCGTGCCTGGCCGCACTGATATACTTCTGTTTCCTCACTTGTAAAATGAGAATCATATTTATCAGGAATAATGTATGTAAAGTACCCAGTCCACCATCTGGCACAAAGTAGGCAACTTACAATTAGTTTCACATTTTAGAGGTGCAATCTAAAATTATTATTGTTTTAATCATGATAAAATATGCATAACATAACATTTACTTTTTGAACCAGTTTTAAGTGTACCATTCAGTGGCATTAAGTACATTCACATTGTTGTGCAATCATCACCACCACTGAACTACATTCATCTTGCACAACAGAAACTCTGTACCCACTAAACAATAATTTCTTATTCATCCCTTCCCCCAGATCCTGGCAACCACCATCTACTTTCTGTTGCTATGAATTTGATTACTCTAGGTACCTCATATAAGTGGAATCACAGAGTATTTTTCTCCTTTCATGATGGGCTTATTTCACTATGCATAATGTCGAGTTTAATCCATGTTGTGGCGTGTGTCAGAATTTTCTTCCTTTTCAAGACTGAGTAATATTCCATTGTGTGTACAAACCACACTTGGTATACCCATTCAACCTTCAATGGACATTTGGGTTACTTCCACCTTTTTGCTATTGTGAAAAATGTTGCTATGAATATTGATGTAGAGTATCTTTTTAAATTTCTGCTTTTATTTCATTTAGGTATATGCCCAGAAATGAAATTGCTGGATCATATAAAATCATTTTATTTGGTTATATAATTCCATATTATAATTAATGAAGTAATCGTCCCATTCCTTTGGTATCAAAGAGAAAACGGTACAGTAGGAAATATACCTAAAGAATCTTTCTTCTCTTTCATTGCCAGAAATAGAGAAAAATTGTTTTTTCTGATTTTTCAGAGGCCATCAGAAAAATTCAATGGAAGCTACATGGAAGAAGAGAGAAATTAAACCATTTAGCACTGGCATAGCAGATACACCCAGAACCTATAATGATGAAAATGCTATCGAAATTATCATTTTTCTATATTCATAAGAAAATTATACAAGGATTCCAGCCTGGTACATCTTTGGTCCCTATCCAGAAATGAAGCTGTTGCACAGAAGGTGTGTCTTATTATTTCCACATGCAAAGGCCTAGATTCTGTGGTCTTTAGCCATAGGAAAAATCTCTATGATAAGTTCCTAAGCAAGATGAGGAGACATCACAGAGGAGAGACCTACCCATGTAAAAAAAATAAGTGTAATGTCATAAGTATTTTTAAGTAAAGAAAAATATATGAATTTGGTTGAATTGCTGTAATATTTTACATTACAATGAAGAATATGCTGTAAGGAAGTACGCTCACATCCTGGCTGAGGATGACCAGAAAACTGATGGCAAAGATGGGTAAATTATATGAAGAATGGTAGAGAAAAGGAAACCAGAATAAAGGGATAAAGGGCTTGTGAAAATATCAAAGAGGAAAAGTGATAGAGCAAATTGAAAATAGAAGATAAAAAATCAAAAGTTTTGGAATATACGTATTAGACTTCTACCAGAAGATCCGAAAATAGGCATGGCCAAGCAAAAGGGAGACAGATCAGGGACATTGCCACTTGGTGACAGAATGAGTCATGGAATCACCTTTTGTTACTGTGTTGATTCAGAGACCAAACAGAGGAACTGATTTGAACTAATGGCAAGTGATAGCAAACATTAGCAAATCTTATTATTTTACATTACTAAGACTGTGCCATCACCTATTTTGGCAGCTGTAGGATTGTTTCTAAACTATATTCAACTAACTAGATGTAACCTTTTGTAGATATCATGGAAGGAAAGAAGGTATGCGTATTAGGTCATTCTTGCATTGCTATAAAGAAATACCTGTGGCTGGGTAATTTATAAAGAAAAGAGATTTAACTGGCTCATGGTTCTGCAGGCTTTACAGGAAGTATAGTGCTGGCATCTGCTTGACTTCCAGAGAGGTCTAAGGATGCTTACAGTCATGGCAGAAGGCACAGTAGGGGGCTGGCATGTCACATGGAGAAAGCAGGAGCAAGTGAGACAAAGAGTGAAGGCGGAGGTGCCACACACTTCTAACAACTAGATCTCCCGACAACTCACACACTATCACAAAAAATAGGGCCAAGCCATGAGGGATCTTCTCCCATGACCCAAACACCTTCCACCCAGACCCACTTCCAGCACTGGTGATTACAATTCAACATGGGATTTGGGAGGGACAAATATCCAAACTATATCAGTTTATGTGTCACTATTTATAGAAAAAGTTAAGTCTTCTTAAAAAGTCAAGTCTTCTTAACCAGACCATAAACTCCCCAAAGACTGGGAACCTTTAGACAATTAAAGAAATTATGGGGCTCTGGGCCATGCAGCAGGACCTACATCAGAGATGACTTGAATGTACTCTAGACTGAAACGAAGGATCCAGGTTAGGAAATGTACGTGTATGTTGGGATTTGAGCACATTCTGATGCAGTCACCCCAGCATTGCGATGAGATCTTATCTTTCCCTGTAGCTCACACTGAGATATTTTCCAGGCTAGCCCATCACTTGTGTGTTCCTATTCATTGTCCGTTGCTCTCAGACCACATCAATACTGTCATGTGTTGCTTAGCCACAGGAATATATACTAAGAAATGTGTCATTCAGTGATTTTGTTCTTGTGTGAACATCGTAGAGTGTAATTACAAAAATCTGATGGTACAGCCTACTACCCACCTAGGCTATATGGTATAGCCTATTGTTCCTAGGCTACAAACCTGTATGGCATGTTGCTGTACTGAACACTGTAGGCAATTGTAACATAATGGTAAGCATTTGTGTGTCTAAACATATCTAAGCATAGAAAAGGTTATGTGCGACACTATGATGTTATGATGGCTACACCATCAATAGGTGAAAGGAATTTTTCAGCTCCATTATAATCTTAAGAAACCACTGTCCATCATTAACTTGAACACTGGTATGCAGCACGTACTGTATTCATGCCATCCTCATCTTCTCAAATTGGATCCTTGCAGGCAAACAATTGCTACTTTTTTCTATTCCCGTACCACTTCTCTCTTTTTGTCATCATAAACTAACCTACTATTCTAAAAATCCTAAGTCCAATACTCCACACATGCCTAAATTTGTCAGAAAACTTGCAAAGAGTTTTTAGTTTGTTTTTATTTTTTAGTAGAAATCTAATATTGCTACCTGTGAAATAAAATTGAAAAGCAGCCCAGTGAAAGAGAGTGAAAATCCTTAACAGATCTCTACTAAAAATAAAAGGATAGAAAATGAAAAGACATATGAAAATACAGACATGAACAACCTATGTTGCCCTCATAACTAAATAATAACACCAGAAAGCAGTTAGTG